CAAAGACACATAATTCGCATAGAGAAAACTTATGCACTTATCTCTTTTTATCTTTTGAACATTCATTCTCCGAAAGAAACCTCATTGTTAGACAATTCACAACGTCCGCAGGAAAAGCAAAGTTTGCAGCGCTTCCGCAGGATTTTGTTCACTATTGCAAAAGTGGAAAAGTTGAAAATGGGAATTTCCTCACGATTTTCACGTCAGACTGATTGAAAATGGGAACTTCCGCAGGACTTTTTACAAAGGGCGGCGGTTCCGCAGCACTCTGACATGCCAGCACTTCCGTAGGCTCTTCGATGTGTTATCTCTTTCGATGTTGCCTTGCCAATAACTAGAGTGCATGTCGAACATCCGTAGTGCAGAGGACATTAAATGACGCAGTTAATGGAGTAAGGTTTGAATCTCGCATAGGTGCTCTCTTTTGCGGTTGTGGTTCGCAGTCTTCGGAACTTCCGCAGCACGTTTACGGAACTTCGGCACGTAGCCCTACGGAGCTTTCCCAAAGAGGAAGTTCCGCTCAGTTGTCTGAGTCGGTTCGAAGGTGGACACCCGAATTATCGTCTCTCATGTTTTTGTCATTTTGGGGCTCTACCGTGGCCCTGACTACAGATGCAAAACTCCAAAAACAGGGAGACCTACTGGGAGTCCTATTTTGAAGGCACAGACGACTTGCTGTACCCATGTGGGTGGAGCTTGACAGGAAGGGCGTGGCTTGTTAGCAGTTTCGCGGGTTTCAGGCCCATTTTTTCCTTTCAGAGCCGCATTAGGGGAGCGCAAAAAACGCAGACGTCCCACTCCTAGGACCTTCTTGTAGACCAGGTATAACTGGGGAGCATACTTTGCTTGGACCCTGCCTTTGATGCTTTTTGATCTGCGCTAGCAACTTCCAAGGTTAACGCTATCATTATCTAAGTTATTTTGCAGAGAAATGCGAGAGAATAATGGTTAAAAAGTTCTATCATTGGCGCTGACGAACAGATAGAAAACAAAGGTTCCATTAAGCTTCACCATAGATGAGAAAGGAACAGGAAATATGACAGCGGGTCACACAGACAAAGTGGAACACTGGCTTTTTCTGTATTTTATTTTTATGCGATTTTCATATGAAGGAAGTTCGAAAAATGCTATTACCTTGTCTTCCACATCATAATATGCAGTTCCCTCAATAATCATTCGTGCTTGATCATTGGGATAATTCGACTCCTCGAAAAGTTCGTCGATCTGAAAAAATAGTTTGCAGCGCATTGGCTAAACTATAAAAAATTTCACAAACTGCACCTTGTCTCTAAAATTCGCAGTTGTCTCAGCATCCAAAGTGAACACATCTTCCTTATTGAATTTTCGCTCCATTTTCAAAACTTTCAGACGCTTTGAAAGTGCCACGGCGTC